TGTTTTAGTATTTCTGTCACTGGCTTTGCTTATGTTGTTCCTCCTAATGACCCCCTTTAACATTGTGTCCTGCAGTGACAGGGCTCAGAAGCCAGTGGGGGAGGACACAATTGACATTTCAGGGGAACGGAAAAGGCAATGATAAATTTTTTAACCACCTGACAGGGTCGTTTCAACCTCCTTGAAGTATATGTTATTCTAATAACTCAAATTTCATTTAAGCTTTAAAATGTTATTGTATTCTAAAAAGCCATTTGTAATAGTTTTGAAGTCCTGTAGCTTTCATTAAAATAATAGCTGGTGATCCTGCCATGATGTTCCTTGTTCAGGCACTTTCTACCAATTGTGTACCTGCATTGTCACCCTGAATTGAAGAGAAGTCACCAGCAGTTCAATAAAAGTGAAATGGTGGAGGGTCCCGTCCTCAGGGAAACATAATGACCTTGGCTCTGGAATGGCTCTGAAATGTTGATTTATTAAAGAAGAACACCAGGAAAACGTTTTTTTTGTCTAGGTTAAAAAATAACAAAGTTATACTCACCCGAAACTTTCTGCCGGCTGGCTGTCACAGCGCTCCCTCCAGCCTGTCTCCCCCTCCGCTGCAGCATTGGAATCTTGCTCGGTGTTCTCACGTCTATACACATTGGAGGGAATTTATAAAAACTGGAGCAGACAAAATATGGAGCAGCTGTGCATGGCAACCAATCAGCTTCTCTCTACAGTTTGGTCAGTTAAGATTTGAAAATGAAAGAGAGAAGCTGATTGGTTGTCATGCACAGTTGCTGCAGATTCTGTTTGTCTCCACTTTTGATCAATTCCCTTTATTGTATAGAACGTGATGATTTACTCGATCACTGCATTGTCACCATATCACACGGGCTTCCCACATGGGCTATACATACTAAGTGCGATTAGATGCATTTATATGCATTTAAAAAGCTTTTCTAAACACATATATACTGTATGCATCTAATGATATCCAAGGATCTATTCACACCATGCGCTTAGATCTGCAGTCAGTTTGTCTGTGTTTAGAAAAAATCAGTCAGGTGCATCTAGGAATTGATTTTAACTTCTGAACGCACCAAAATGCATGTAAAGGCATGTAAACGTGATTTGATGCTAGGATCTGGTACCAGATGCCTCTAAATGCATTTGTGTGTATACGCACATAAAAGCATGTAAATGCACATAAACACACCTCATTTAACGCATCTAGAAGCATAAACACAGCACCTAGATTTTGCTCTGCATATAGAGCACACAAACGCAAGTGGCAAGTGCCTCTGTAGCCTGAGTGGCAGTTTCAACATTGCACAGGCATGGTTCACTGTTGTCCCCATCTGGAGATATGCCTTGAGAAATGCCATGCAACTATTGCTGAAGCACATGCGTGTAGATGGGAAGTAGCTGCAAAGGGGCTGCAATGTAATAGCAGTACTTGGATGGAACAAAGGATCAAAAAAGAAAAAGGTGGTAGTTATTTATGAGTAATGACGGGTGGGAGGTGGGGGATTTAGGCTTGATCAAAACTGGAGCAGTTGTCCATAATAACCAATCTGTCTTCTCCAGTTTTCATAAATTCCTCTTATGGTACTATAGCAAAACATAATGCCATTCAGTTCGTGTTTACTGCTACTATGACGGATCTTTTTGCAGGATTCCTAAATAGTTAGTTGCGTACCAAATACGTTTTTCTTTATTATTTACAGTCTATCCCAATATATTCTGACGTCTTATGGCTACAAGGAAATCACATAAGTGCAGTTTGTATTTATGTAATATAGTGGAGTATAAGAGCCCAAATTCCAAGTACGTCTATCAGTTTAGAGCTTTTTTTGCCTTTTGAAGTTACTGTGATGTGCTAAGTTAAAAAGAATTTGTGTGTAGCATTAAGATTAGATAAACTCGTTCTTCTGTAAACAGGAATTAGGACTGCAATTGTAAAATTCTGAATAATACTTTGAATGGTGTTTGACTTTTTTGCAATAAGTGCAAATTTCCATCCACAAAATCCATTGTATCATTAGGACTTGAGGATTAACGGAGGTGCAGGTGTTTTGAAAACATTTTACAATCTTTATTTATTTTACTTTCTTATTTTGCTAAACCTTTTTTGTTTAAAAAATTTTTTTGTGTGGGAGCTTGACATGATCCAGCCCTTCCCATACCTCTACAGCAACAGGCTCAAGTGAGCTTGAATTCAAAAAGTGAAGATTTGCTGTCTTATAGGGAACATCTAGGAATCTTAAAAGAAAACTTTGGGGCAAACTTTTTATCCCATAGTTCTCTTTGGGGTCACGGGAGGATATATACTATCCCTCCTCCGGTGACCTAAAGCTCAGTATATAGCAGGCTATTGCCCGCCATATACTGAGAGCGCTGCAGCCAGTATGGATCCTGACAATACTGCTTGGATCCACTCAGCTGTGTGAGTGACAGCAGGCTCTGCCTATCTAGAGGCAGAGCCAGCTGTGCCTGCCCTCTCACCCATCCGTTCCTCCAGTCAGCGCGAAAATCACTCACCTCATAGTTCTCCTTTAACCGCTTGAAGACCAGGTGTTTAGACCCCCTTCCTGGCCAGGCCATTTTTCAGTATTCAGCGCTGCGGTACTTTGACTGACATTTATTTTGTCATGCAACGCTGTACTGAAATTAATTTTATACAATTTTTTGGGGACAGATAGAGCTTTCTATTGGTGGTATTTAATCACCACTGGGGGTTTTATTTGTTACTATAATAAGGAGAAATTACTGAAAATTTTGAGAAAAAAACGTTTTTTTTTTACATTATGTCATAAAACAACTAATATTACCCAC